TGGAGGAGCAATTGCCCTTCTTCCTTTTTTTTTTTTTTTTTTTTTAAGGACACAAAAAAAAAGTTCCTATCAGTATCCCTGCCCCATGTAGGCCAAGTGTTTTACTGGCTCAGCTTCATTAGTTGGCTTCCGTTGCTAAGCATTCTTTTAGCAGCAGATTAATGATAGACAGCATATTTAATGAAGTTTCCTTGTATGTGATTATAAGACATGGGGCTTTTTCATCTTGTATTCAAGCAAATACAGTAATATAGAGATGGAGTACAGCATGATGTTACCAATCTAGTAGCAGGATGGTTTAGTGGATAGAAATAGGGGTCAAGAGTTCTTTCATCCACTGCTAATTTGTTGCCTGACTTTGAGCAAGTGACTTAAACTATATGTACCAGTTTCCCCACTTGTGAAACGTTAATAATGATACTGATTCAACCTGAGTGCCCAAGGTATACTTTTAGTTGTACACTGAATACCCTGAAGCTGTGAAGCACTGAATAAATATCAGTAATCTACCTGAAGAGTACTTTAGGGATTTTATTTTTCTTCTGATCACCAGTCTAGGGAAAGATGATTACTTTTGAAAAAAAAACTTATGCACTGATTTGTCAAGATGCCACACCCATACAGGAGCATTGCAGGATTACTTAATCCATCACTAGGCATGAAGTAACACTTTTATATTTTGAAGCCTGGGACTCCATACTTTTGGACCTCTTAAAATTCCTAACCAGATACAAGAGGTAAGGATTTGGTGAATTTAACTGAACCAGCTACATAGTTGGGAGGGACATGTACAAGTTTTTGGATACCTCTTGGGAAGGTGGCTGCTACTGTATGACCTGACAGGATCAAATGACTACCACTGCCACCATCCTGTATGAACAGTAATGCAACTGGATCAATGGCTCAGGATTAAATATGCTATAGCAGTGTAGGGAATCACTGACATTTTTTTGTCAGTCTTTGCAACTATATTCTGTAATTGGGGCTCCGCATATTTTAAGGCAATAATGTTGAGTTTCCTTCAACATCTTTATCATTGAAACTTAATGAAAATAGGATTTAAAACAAAGCACCATACAAGGTCTTGATTTTTTCACTCTTACTCACACCGAGTATTTTTTAAATTTGTAAGCAGTTCTTCTGACTCGTACAAAACTATTTACAGCAAGGTACTGCTTAACTATGGGTAATTTCAAATTGAACGCAAAGGAGTCCTGTACTTTGCTTCTATAGCCATTTCTCTTCTTTTTTTCATAATGCTAATATCTGCAACTTACATGCTATAATGTTTCCTTTAAAAGATTTAATTAAATGCATTTCAGGGGAACAGAGGAAGAGGCACTGCCCAGTCTTTCATACATACAATTATTCCCCCTCTTTATGATTAGGAAATGGGGAGAGAATGTGATCTGCAGCAGATATTGTTAAGCACCAAAAGCTTAATGCTGTCACAAAGAATATTAAGAATGGTGAGTTATTAAGGTATGCCCTGCCTGCTTCTTGCTATCCTGATAATTATAATTGCATTGTTTTCTTGTACCCATTCCCTGGTCCCATCTGTTGGCTGAATCTGCCTATTACTGTCACTTATCTTGTACTTTAGACTTAAATATTTTTGGTCACAGAAGCTTCTTTTGCTACGTATTTGTACAGTCTGTAGCACATTTGTTCTATTTCTGAATTAGGAACCTCAAGTATGACTACTACAAATAATGTTAATATTAATATTAAAGCAAAAACAAAACAAGGCCCCAGCTTTGAACATGAGTTTCCTACAAAACATGCTGAACTGTGGAACACTTACAATTCTACATCTGGGTTCAGCTACACTCTCACTAATTTTTTTCCTCTTTGCAATTCCTCCACTCCCTAAAAGCCCAGCACTGCAGCAACAGTCGCTGGCATAAGACTAGATTAGTATCAGCATACCCAAGAGAACATCTTGACAATTTCTAGAAAATGACCTTACATTTTTCCACTGTCTTCAGCTGAGAGTACCATATCCTCAATTGTCCTAGAGGGTGAGATGCATCATCAGAGAGCTGACTATTGGGCTCATCAGTAGCAATACCGGATGTTATCAGCAGGCTGTGTGAAGCTTCGGTAGCTGATTCGATTCAGAGGAGATTTGGCCTGATTTGGGGACCGTATCTCCAAATCCGAATTGAATCAGGAGACCAAGTAAAAGCTCTGAATCTATTCAAAGCATCTGAGTGAGCCACACCTGCATTATGCCCCCCAGCATAGGCTGGGCAAGCGGCAGAAGGGCAGAGCCCCCATGGCTTCCCCACCGCCAGGGCAGAGATAGGCACAGTTAGAGGAGCCACAGGAGAAGCCCCTTGCCTGGCCCTATCCCCGTCTCCCACCCGGCCCAGCACCCATGTGGCAGCTGTCCCATGGCACGTGTGCAGCATGGCTTGGCTGGATGCTGTGTGCTGTTTGGGAGCTGGGGTGGCTCCACCCGTCAGCCGGAGCCCCTGGTTCCATTCCCCAGGGAGCTGAGGTGGCTCCACGTGTCAGCTGCAGCCCAGCAGTGCTCAACGGCCCCAGCTCCCAGACAGTGCGCTGCACCCACACCATGGGGCAGCTGCCCCATGGGTGCCAGGAGATGGGGGAGGAGGCGATCCCTGCTGCCCCCTACTGCCCCGCGCTGCACTGGCGAGCTCTGCCACAAGCTCCCAGAGGCCCCAGTCGCCACTCCTGCAGCTGGTGAGTGCGGGGCCTTTTTTTTCTTTTTTTTAAAGCATCAGGACTAGGCAGGGGACTGGGGCCAGGCAGGGCAGCCCTGGGGGCTTCTCCCACAGCTCTCCCTGCCTGGCGATAGGCAGGCACAGCTGAAGGAGCTGTGGGAGAACCTACGGCCGTTTGGCTGTGCCTGCCTCTCCCCCGCTGAATCTCTCCAAATCAGCGCTGAATCTTTTGGAGCTGATTCAGCTGAATCGATTCAGGACAGTGATCTGAATCTCTGAATCTGAATCAAATACTTCCTTATTCACACAGGCCTATTGTCTAGTGTTAAAGGCATGCAAGCATTTCTAATGACTGTTGTGTATTAACAAGCTTGGACGTGGTTTCTATACCTGAGAACATCTCCTGAGGTAATCAAGAGCAGGAAGGCACAAGTCTGTAGACATGGATCCTGATCCTGGCATGCAATCGCCAATCTCTTTACAGTCCACTTCCCCTAGGATTAAGGAGGGCAGGGTGAAGACAGCAAAAGGATGAGAAACAGAAACATGGCATTAGAAATAACACAAGTAAACTGCAGTTTGGCTTACGTGTTACTGACTGCACAATCTACAGATGGATTGTATATTGATCCAAGAAGTTTATCAATACCTTGCGCATCTAAGAGTGCAACAGCATTGGCCTCATCTTTATTGAGGATATATTTATAAAGTGTGAATCATTGATATATGCTTTAATAAGCAGCTGATTTTATAACATTTCTTAGAATCCCAGCTTATATCCATTTGTTACATGTTACAGAAAAATTCTTATTACCATGTATAAAATGTACTGGGTCTATAACATACTTATAGCATATCTACTGATCCTTTAAACACCTGTTATAAACTATTTATGAAAAATCCTTGTTTATTGAATCTGAGCTTCATATACCAGAACTTTTCCCTTTGGCATTCATCTCAACAAAGAGGTTTTTTTTTTTTTCAAACCATCAAAAAAAAGAATTATTTAATAGTTTCCTCACTGGCTTCTGGCAGGAAATTTTAATATTCTCTGTAAAGTAGCAACTAATTAAATTCCTTTCCATTTCCCCCCAGCAAGGTCTTGATCCTGCACCCACTGAAGTGAGAGATAGAGGCAGAGGTCTCATTGACTATGGGAGGGGTAGAATCAGCCATTAAGTAGTCCCATTTATAAATTAAAGATTGATTTTAAGAAAGCAAAGAAGGCCCCACTCTAGCTTCTATATGCATTTTGCTAGTTATATTAGTACTGAGTAGATCAATTCTATGTTTCAAGGAAAGTGTCAGAAATTCTAATGATCAAAGCAAGCAGAGAATTGTGAATAAGAAGACGGAACACCCCAACAGCATTGGCCTTCTGACATTTCTCCAAGCTGTACATTTTCAGCAGAGGGTCACCTTGACCTAAATGCTTTATTTTCTCTCCCATCTACTCCACCCTCACTAGCAGAAAGGAAAAGTTAATTTTGCTGACAGATTGTTATTACTTGCGATGCTCATGTTCTTACTGAGGTTTCCAGTAGGTTTTGGCAAGTTGTGTGCCAAATACTACTGAGAGTGAGGTAAGAAAGGGTAGCAAGAAGAAATGTGGTTTTGATTGCTGAATATAAACTTACCCTCATGAAAAAATACGACAGCATTCTCTGTAACAGTAAATAACAAACCAGTATTCAATATTATTGTTGCAGAATTCTGGAATGTTATGGTAGAATTCTGTAACATGGATATGGTAGGTCACAGTGAAAATTAGATAAATGAAACAGACTTTTAAAGAAAATGGCTGCACTTTTCTTGCAGAAAGACAACTTAAGACTTGACAGCATCAAAAGTATTTTTGCAATAATCCTCTGTTGCATTTAGACCCTGGGTTAACATCTAACAAACTTCTCCATATGCATACGCTGCACCTCATTATACACCAAATTCTCCTCTTCCAGAAAAAAAGCAATGTTGAGACGTTGCAAAGAATTAAAAAAAAAAGGGAAAATACTACTTACCCAGTCCTTTAACAAACTTCATAAGGCACATAATGTAACTCGTGGCGGCATTGGCAAAGACCTGGATGTTGTCTGTGTTGAGAAATGCTTCAAAGACATCAAAGACAGGTGCCTGACGCTTTCCTGAAGGAACAGCAAGGTGCGAAGGTTATTTATTTATTTCCCCTCATAAGTTTGGGGTTGTAGTTCCCTATGTTTTCTTATTATTCTAATTAATCTGAGTCAACAAGAGCTCTTTCCTTATGGTTAGGCAACTATCTGTTTGAGACACAAATGATGGGACATACTGTCTCTCCTTTTCTCTGAAGGTGCTTTATGTATCCTTCTTGAGCGTGTTACAGGCTCCCCTCTGCAGAGGATGCAAGCAAGTTATAGCTAGGGCCTGGTTTAAATAGTGAGCCCAGCTTGCTAATATTGTGGCATGATTGTGGCAGGGGCTCCATATTTGTGCCCAGATTGTGGGCCCTGCCCTGATTGTCTGAGGGGCAGGTTTAGGGCCAGGTGTAATTGCAACAGCAGAGGCCTTGCTCCTGATGGCTGCTGAAAAGCCCGTGCCTCCTCCCTCCCGCTTCACCAGAAAAGGCAGGAACAGCAGTAGTGGCCATCTGCCCTGCATTGTTTCCGACAGGCAGAGAGGAAATTCCCTTTTCAAAAATGCCACTCTACTCTGCTGGGATCCCAACCAATTGGCAGCGAGTCTGATGCTGAGCTCAGTGTCAGCCAATCAGCACTGATGATGACGAGCTCGTCACACAGGAGGTTTGAGGGCACCTGGGGGCTGCCTTGGCAGATGGCCCTGGCACTGGGTAGGGGAGGGGCT